ACAGAGATTCCAGTTGTTTCCCATCTGCAACCATTACACATAATACTGAATTCAACAGCCTTATACCCTCTTTTTTTTTTTTTTCTTCGTTTGCTATAGGGTCATACTTGCTCACCAGAGAGAGAGAAAGTTGGCCATGTGAGATCCAGCACTTTAGCCTCCATGTCACCAGCGGGCCCACATTTCAATGTATTTCAATCTTTCAGCATATGGTCTATGTCATTTGCTTTCTCCCTAGCCCCCTTTCAACCATAACTTCAGTATTTAGGAAGAGTTTGTATTTTTGTTCTAGTCATTACTTTAGAGTAATACTATTTCTTTTTCCTTAAAAAAGATAATTTAGGGGCCAGCAGATGGTGTAGTGATTAAGGTGCTGGACACTGCCACGTAGCCAACCATGGTTTGAGCCCTCGACCACGTGGCTTGCTTTCTCAGTTTCCCCCTCTGTGTCTCTCTCTGGTCAAATTAAAGTACATGAATGAATAAATAAAATTAAATAAATAATTTTTATAAAAACAGCTAATTTATTTGTCTTGTCTTGTAATACAATGGATGGGGGAGCCAAGTCCCACATAGTCAACATAGTTTAAATCCTGGCCCCAGAGTTTGTCATGTGTGCGTGCCCCAAATCCTGATGAAGAAATGGATGGGGGATTGCAGCATGGCTGCACCCCATTGTGGAGTGCCTTTTCTCTCTGTCTCTCCCCTCCTGACTCTGACAAGTGCATGCACTCTCTGGCAATGAAAAGAACTTTAAAAAAATGAATTTATTGGGACCAACCAGTGTGTAGTGGTTAAAGTGGCTGGATCCCATATGGCCGACACACGGTTTGAGTCCTGTATGTACCCTGCAGCTTGGAAAACACTGCATGTGTGCATGTATGTCTAAAACCCTGAGAGGAGAATGAAGGAGAAAGGATTGGAGTGTGGTCACCCCCCATAGGGGGTTCTTTCTCACTTTCCCTCTCTCCCTATATCTGTCTGTCTCTGCAGAGCACATGTGCCCTATAGCAAAATAAATAAATAAATAAATAAAATAAATAAAAATAAAAAATTAAAAAAATCATCTGTTTACTTTTTCTTAGCTTTCTTTTTTTCTTTTTCTTTCTTTTTTCTTTTTTTGAATAGTATTAGTTAAAAATCATTATTTAGGGGGCCAGCAGGTGGCATGGTGGTTAAGGGGCTGGACACTTCCACATGGCCAACTGTGGTTCAAGTCCCAAGCCATGGTAGCTTGCTTTCTTACTTTCCCTCTCTTTCTGTGTCTATCTCTGGTCAAATTAAAATAAATGCATCGGGACCAGCAGATGGTGTAATGGCTCCATCTCTGGACTCCCATGTAGTCAACTGCAGTTCAAGTCTTGGAGCTGGTGGCTTAAACTCATACTGGGCATGTGTGCATGCGTGCCCAAGATCCCGAGAGGAGAATGGAGGAGAAGGGATTGTGGTGTTGATTTCTCGCTTTCTGTCTCTCTGTTTGTCTTTTTGGCAAGTGCACACGCCCTATGGCATAAACCTCTCAAATAAATAAATAAATAAAATGTATGAGTAAATAAAATGATTATTTAATTTTATTTGTTATTTTTAAATTTGCTATAGGGTACATGTGCTCATTAGAGAGAGTGGGAAAGTAAGAAAGCAAGCCGCCAAGTCTGGGACCTGAACTACACAGTCAGCCATTTGGGAGTCCAGCACATCAACCACCATGCTACCTGCTGGTCCTATTATTTTTTAACTTGCTATAGGATACATGTGCTAGAGAGAGAGAGAGAGAGAGAGAATGAGAAAGCAAGCTGCCAGGTCTGGGACTTGAACTATGGTCAGCCATATTAAAGTCAAGCATCTTAACCACCATACCATCTGCTGGTTTCTTCCTTCCTTCCTTCCTTTCTTTCTCTCTCTTTTTTTCTTTCTTTATTTTCCTCTTTCTTTCTTTCTCTTTCTTCCTTCCTTTCCTCTTTTTCTTTCTTTCTTTTTCTTTCTTTTTTTTTTTTTTAATTGCTGGGAGCATGTGTTCTCATACACAAGAGAGAGAAAGCACTCCAATGAAGCGAGGTCATACCTCAATCCCTCTTCCTCTATTTCTCTGACCTGTCAGAATTCTAGGAGGTTTTTCAAGCCACAAGGGCTGAATGTGAACCACAGTTGGCCAGTGGGATCCAGCTGCAGTGCGCAGTGTGTAACAGCTGTGCCACAGGGCCAGCCCCTAATCCATTCATACGATAAGTACACATGCCACCCTTTTAGGTTACTATTCATATGAGCAATATTAAATTGGCTAGTAATCTTATCCTCCCTTGCACTTAACCTACACTCCTAATTCATTCTCACACGGCCACCAGAGCATATTCTCACCCACTCTCCTTGTTTCTCCTCACTGAGAGTAACGCTGTATTACAGGATTCCCAAGAGACCTAGAGAAATCAGCAAGCACATATTAATGGCTTATTGCTATTGTTCTTTTTATTATTATTAAGACATAACTTATTATTATTATTAAGACATAACTTTTTTAAAAAAATAATAATAATTTTTTATTTAGGAGAGATTTTTTGCTATAGGGCATGTGTGCTCACTGGAGAGACAGAAAGCAAGAAATCACCCCCGAGGGGATGGCCACACCACAATACCTTCTCCTCCAGTCTCCTCTCGGGATTTTGGACATGTACACACACACGTCTAGAGTGAGTTTTAAGCTGCCAGGTCCGGGACTCGAGCTGTCGTGTTGACCACGTGGGAGATGTAGCCATTTCGCCATCTGCTGGTCCTTATTTTATTTATTATTATTACTTTTTAATTTGCTATAGGGCATGTGTGCTCACTAGAGAGAGACAGAAAGAGAGACAGAGAGAGAGAGAGGGAAAATGAGAAATCAAGCCACCACCTTTGGGACTCAAACCACGGTACACCATGTGAGAGTGCAGTGCCCTAACCAGTTCCCTGCTGGCCCTACTATTGTATTTTAAAAAATATTTTAAAAATTTTATTGTATTTATCATTATTATTATTATTTTTTTAATTTGCTACAGGGCCTGTGTGCTCATCAGAGAGCAAGAGGAAGAGAAGGAATGTGAGAAAGCAAGCTATCAGGTGGGAACTAGAACCATGGTTGGTTCCAGTGAGAGTCCAGTACCTCAACCACCACACCACCTGCTGCCCCCAAATACTGTATTTCAACACACGATAAAATAAGCGTATCTATCCCCAGACTTTATGGCCACACTGCATATTGTCAAAGAACTTGGCACCACATGCTGCACTGCTTCCGTTAGAATCACCCTTTATTCTTCACTGTAAATACAATCAGTTTAACCACCATCACCAGTGAGAGATACTGGTGTCTCTTCTGTCATCTTGGTTGTCTAAAGCTTATTCTCTAGACTGTCGGAGAAAATATTCTTCTGTGGTATCTGGACTTGGGGGCGATGTTACAACATCTCCAACAGAGGGAGCCTTCACCTCAGCAAAGACATCCGGATTGGCTCTGCGATCCAAAGCACTTTGAAACCATTGCTTTCAGATCGCAGCTGTGCGTCTCGTCAGGGCTTGCTGTGTCCAGGGCTGTGTTTTAGGGTGCTGTAAGGAAACCTACAAAAGCCAGAGGGTTTGCACATACAAACTTGGGTCAGTAGTTTGGAGAAGATCTCACTATCCCAGAAAGAGGCAAAAGCCAGGTCTACAGTCCGATCCCATCACCACTCCTCCCAGTTAGGAGCTGCAGGTGTGGAGCCACCCTGTGAGCTGATAGGGTGGCCAAAGACAGGCCCAGCTCTGTAAGAGAAGAGACAGATGCACGAGGTCTTTACTTACAGGGATTACTACTCATTTTTCTGATTTAAAAAATTGCTGTAAGAACCAGGTGGTGGTGGTTATGCAACTAGATCCACAAGGGTAAGGACCTGGGTTCCCATCCAGGGACCTCCCTAAGCATATTTTTTTTTTTTTTTTTTTTGAAGACGATAAGTACACATGCCACCCTTTTAGGTTACTATTCATATGAGCAATATTAAATTGGCTAGTAATCTTATCCTCCCTTGCACTTAACCTACACTCCTAATTCATTCTCACACGGCCACCAGAGCATATTCTCACCCACTCTCCTTGTTTCTCCTCACTGAGAGTAACGCTGTATTACAGGATTCCCAAGAGACCTAGAGAAATCAGCAAGCACATATTAATGGCTTATTGCTATTGTTCTTTTTATTATTATTAAGACATAACTTATTATTATTATTAAGACATAACTTTTTTAAAAAAATAATAATAATTTTTTATTTAGGAGAGATTTTTTGCTATAGGGCATGTGTGCTCACTGGAGAGACAGAAAGCAAGAAATCACCCCCGAGGGGATGGCCACACCACAATACCTTCTCCTCCAGTCTCCTCTCGGGATTTTGGACATGTACACACACACGTCTAGAGTGAGTTTTAAGCTGCCAGGTCCGGGACTCGAGCTGTCGTGTTGACCACGTGGGAGATGTAGCCATTTCGCCATCTGCTGGTCCTTATTTTATTTATTATTATTACTTTTTAATTTGCTATAGGGCATGTGTGCTCACTAGAGAGAGACAGAAAGAGAGACAGAGAGAGAGAGAGGGAAAATGAGAAATCAAGCCACCACCTTTGGGACTCAAACCACGGTACACCATGTGAGAGTGCAGTGCCCTAACCAGTTCCCTGCTGGCCCTACTATTGTATTTTAAAAAATATTTTAAAAATTTTATTGTATTTATCATTATTATTATTATTTTTTTAATTTGCTACAGGGCCTGTGTGCTCATCAGAGAGCAAGAGGAAGAGAAGGAATGTGAGAAAGCAAGCTATCAGGTGGGAACTAGAACCATGGTTGGTTCCAGTGAGAGTCCAGTACCTCAACCACCACACCACCTGCTGCCCCCAAATACTGTATTTCAACACACGATAAAATAAGCGTATCTATCCCCAGACTTTATGGCCACACTGCATATTGTCAAAGAACTTGGCACCACATGCTGCACTGCTTCCGTTAGAATCACCCTTTATTCTTCACTGTAAATACAATCAGTTTAACCACCATCACCAGTGAGAGATACTGGTGTCTCTTCTGTCATCTTGGTTGTCTAAAGCTTATTCTCTAGACTGTCGGAGAAAATATTCTTCTGTGGTATCTGGACTTGGGGGCGATGTTACAACATCTCCAACAGAGGGAGCCTTCACCTCAGCAAAGACATCCGGATTGGCTCTGCGATCCAAAGCACTTTGAAACCATTGCTTTCAGATCGCAGCTGTGCGTCTCGTCAGGGCTTGCTGTGTCCAGGGCTGTGTTTTAGGGTGCTGTAAGGAAACCTACAAAAGCCAGAGGGTTTGCACATACAAACTTGGGTCAGTAGTTTGGAGAAGATCTCACTATCCCAGAAAGAGGCAAAAGCCAGGTCTACAGTCCGATCCCATCACCACTCCTCCCAGTTAGGAGCTGCAGGTGTGGAGCCACCCTGTGAGCTGATAGGGTGGCCAAAGACAGGCCCAGCTCTGTAAGAGAAGAGACAGATGCACGAGGTCTTTACTTACAGGGATTACTACTCATTTTTCTGATTTAAAAAATTGCTGTAAGAACCAGGTGGTGGTGGTTATGCAACTAGATCCACAAGGGTAAGGACCTGGGTTCCCATCCAGGGACCTCCCTAAGCATATTTTTTTTTTTTTTTTTAGAGATTTTTGCTATAGGGCACGAGTGCTAACCGAGGAGACAGAGAAACGTAAAGTACAAACTCATCCCTCAGGGGCAATGGCCATGCCGCAATCCTTTCTCCATTCTCTTCTCGAGATTTTGGGCACGCATGCACATGTGTCTGGCTTGAGTGTTAAGCCACCAGTTCTAGGACTCGAACCATGGTCCACTACATGGGAGTCCAGAGATATAACCATTACGCCATCTGCTGGTCCCCACAATGTAACTTTTTAAGGAAAAGTTACTGTGAATCTTTTTTTTTTTTTTAATTATTTTTTATTTAACCTTATTTATTTATTTTAATTTGACCAGAGAGTGACTGCAGTCAGCCATGTGGGAGTTCAGTGCGCTTAACCGCTATGCTACCTGCCAGCCCCACTGTGAATAATCTTTTTTATGTTTTTGTTTGTTTTGGTGAGGGTGTCGTCTTTTTTTTTTTTTTTGCTTTTGCTAAAGGGTGCATGTGGTCACAAGAGAGGAGAAAGAGACAGTGAGAAGGAAAGCAAGAAATCACCACCCAGGAGGGGCAGTCATGCTACAGTCCCTTCTCTGTTCACCTGGGATTTTAGGCAAGCATGTCCATGTGCCCGGTGTGATTCTCAAGCTGCCAGATCCAGGACTTAAACCACGGTCAGTCAGGCCCGGCACCTTAGCCACTGCGCCACCTGCTGGCCTTACTGTGAGTCTCTTTAAAATCTGGGGATGGGTATGGAGAAAAGCAAGAGACCTGGAGAGCTAATCAATCCAGCAAGGTCTCAAGATGTGCCAGGGCACCTTCACACATAGCTGGGGGGGGGTCACCTTCATGGAAAACAACTGGGAAACAGTCATCAAAATACACATACCCTTTGCCTTCACGGTTTCACTTCTGGAAACTGATGCTACAGATATAGTCAAACACAAGCTAATGGCACGTAAACAGTTTCTCGTTGCCATATTGTTCTTTTTTTTTTTTTAAGAATTATTTCTTTTGGGGACCAGCAGTTAGTGTAATGGCTATGTCGCTGGACTCCCACGTCGTC